TTTTATCCTTGTGTTTGTTTATTATCGCCATCGAATTGGATTGTAACATTATGTGGGTAAAGATAAATAATTATCTAAACAAAGATGTTTTGGTTTCAAGTTATTTCTTGGTCTTCTATAAAGAATTCGTACTCTCCTTTTTCGTGCTTATGGGTTCATCAATCCCGCTATGGTGACATTAAGTTTGGCAGTTTTTTTTTTTACAGTGTGAGGTGGCACGCTTTTTTACATTTGGCCCCGTTTGATTTACATTATTATCTCATTAAAATAAAAAATATGACTGTTATTCATCAAATCAATATTTAAATTCAAATTTTCTATCTCTTGTGTGGGCCTCAATAACGGTTATATTTTTCATTCTCATTCTATAATAATTTGGTTCAAACAGGGCCCTGATTTCAACAACACTAAAAATAAATAATGGCATAGATTTTTACATGGAATGTACAAATAGCATTTTCTGTTCATCAATAGATATTGATTATTTATGAACACGCTGTAAGAAGGGTAAAATACTAGAATCTGGAATAGCATTTACCTTCACTGTTGACTCTTCGTCCTCTCTGGAGCCGACGCAAACCTCAAAGAACCTTTTCATATGAACGTTGGAAATTTTGAGAGGGGAATGTGTAGAAATACGGTAACGTTTGGCAAATTACGATTTACAATGATTAAGTTGTAAGCAACTTCACGACGCTAGAATTTGTGTGTGTATGCTCTTTTAGAGCTGGTTTGATAAATCGCATAATTGGAAAGAAAAAGTTTGTCAATATTTGACTTATGAGAATTTTTTTAAACTTATGAAAGTGAGTTTTTTACTTCTAATTTACTTCGTGAGTTTTGCTTATAAGTAAATTATAATTGGGGTATTGAACCTTGGAAGGCTGTGACGAATAGGATTTCGAAAACTTATTTTCTAGCACTCGAAGTTAATAAAATGTACGATCGAAAATTCTCATGAAAAATGAGATTGAAAATAAGTTTTGAAAAAATGAGATCGAAATAAAGTTCAGTAACATTACTTTTCAGGTTTCTAAGTAATCAAATTTGTTAGTTTTCCTCGACGTTTAATCGAGTTTTTGACCTCTAAAAAACTATGAGTTGAAAACAAAATCAGGTCATTCTTCTTAAAGATGATATTTTAATATATTTTTGTATATTTCTTAGCAAACGAACTATGGTTATTTAAGAGAAAAGATAGTTCTTTGTCTGACAAAAATAAAATTAAAATTGCGATTTAAGGTATTGTGAAAGAAAAAGTCGAAGAATTTGAGAGTCGAATTCTAAATCTTGATAGCGAGGAATAGAGATGTCAATGAGAAATTATTTATAATTCTATGCATTGCAAGCCAACTTTTCTAGAAGTCATTTTTTTAAAACTCTTTTTTAATAACATATCGTAGGAATAATATAATCACTCGTAACTTTTCTCTATTTTTAAACTACATATTCTACAAAAGTTATTTTTCACAAAATCTATATAAAAGTAATAATAATCATGTTAAATGTACATCATTCTTTACAATTTTTTTACTTTTTGTTAAGTGACAACACATCATTGGATAATTTACATTTTACACTGTTTGGTAGCTAATTTCTTGGCATTTTAAAAGATTTTTTGATTGTTGGAACAGTAACGTGGGCCCATTGCAGCAGTCTTTTTTGACTCGGTAGAGAACAAATTCTCTAAAATGACACTCTCAGTATACAATAAAATAAATATAAAAGAGTACAAAGGTAATTTTACTTGGATTTATCAATAAATGCCGCCGTTATGATCGTTACCCAATTTTTTCACGCAATCAACATTTTAACAATGCCAATAGTCAAGAAAAGAGTGTAAAAGTCGCATCCCTCTGAAAAAATGACTTTATTGCTTGATTTAAAATCATAGTAATTAAGGTTAATTTTCACATTATTTATAATTCTGTGCATTGCAAGCCAACTTTTCTAGAAATCACATGTGAGGCTTTCTACCAAGTTTGTGCCTTTAAAAAAATAATAATAACCAAACAAAAATATCCAAAATTGGTGAAAATGATGAGAAAAATGAGGAGTAAATTAGGACGATGAGAATACCACAATATTTTATTTTATTTTTTCATTTTTAATTTTTATTGGATTAGAAGATAATTTATTGAAAATATATTTTAATTGTGGTGTGATTATAACATGTCGTAGGAATTAAATTTTCTAGGAATAATATAATCACTCGTAACTTTTCTCTATTTTTTAACTATATATTCTACAAAAGTTATTTTTCACAAAATCTATAAAAAAAATAATAATAATGTTACGTGTACATCATTCTTTACATTTTTTTACTCTTTGTCAAGTGGCAACATATCATTGGATAATTTACATTTCACACTGTTTGGTAGCGATTTTCTTGGCATTTTTAGAGATTTTTTGATTGTT